TGGCTACTTGTTCTGTGTCTTCTTGTCTCTTCTCAAAAACCCTTTTGAGTGCTTTTTTGCATCATTAAAGAACTTAGCTCGTGTAGACTTTTTTTGTACGTATATTTGAGATTTTTAAATTAAAGAGACATGATATTATTATCGGTAACAAAATTAAATAAATAAATAACTTATTGAAAAGGCCAGTTTTTTTTTTGTGTGTTGCAGGCTGTGTGGTGAATCACAAAATCTTGTTCATTCTGGGGTCGGATTTAAAATTTTGTTTATTACAGTCCAATGTACAATAAAAATTTGACATAATCAATTACAAAAATAGTTGCAGTAAATGTTCAGAATTTTTGATTATTATTTGTATTGGTCTGATTTGAAATTCAAAAAACCTATTTTCACAACCTACCTAAAATACTGTAGTTGCCAAACTAATACTACTAAAAAAGAATAATTTATCATGGTCCCACTCCCATCACATGTTATTAATGTTAATAAATATCCCTAAAAATGTTCATTGTAATTGTGAAACGCTGTCGTTTCTTGTAAGCCCGTATTTTAGCGGGTCGGTATACGGGTCGGAAGCAAAATTGTTGTTCAAGTATCAAAACGACGCCGTTTTTTTAAAACAATAGCGGTCGTCTTCTTCATCCGAGAGCCGACCATAGAGAGGTGAAGTGAAGACTCAGGGGAGAAGAAGAAGAAGCGTAAACGACGCAATCACAGATAGGGTTTTTGTCATGTTGGTTCAGCTTCCTCGCTTGACTAGCTCTCTTAGAGACCCTTTCGACACCGATCAGGCGTACCTTCGCCGGAAAGCGATTCTCCAAACTCTTAATAAGCCTCGCAGGTCGGTTTTCGCTTCCCGAGTTCCTGAAATTTCGATTTTATTTGGAACTAATTTCACTCTAGGATCTGTTTGGTTCTGTATAGAATTTGGTAGTTGTATAGTCAGGTGATCATCACGATGTTTCTAGTTAAATTTTGCTAAATTTGAGAACGAAATTGATTTGTGTGCTTCTTGTGTTTGCCACTTCAGCTCCGGGAGTAGCCTTGATGAATCTGACCTTGCTAAAAGGATAGTCCATCAATGGGAAGGAGGTGATTTTCTGATAATTTGTTTGTTATTTCTCTAAATGGAAATCTGAGGTGGTGTTTTTGTGTATGTTGATGGGAATTGTTGTTGTGACAGCTTCTCCAGAAGTGCGTCAAGCATACAAGCAGTTTACTGGAGCTGTAATAGAGTTGATTGACAGGGAAGTTCCATCCGATGAGTTTCGTGAGGTTGCTTTTGCCGCATATCGTCTGTTTGGCAAGCCAGTGGAGGAGGATAGTGATTTTAGTGATAAAAGCATTGTCGAGAAGAAGTAAGTACTGTTGATTCTGTTTTTATTGTTTTGTATATTAACTTATTTATCGCCCATGCTGAGGCAAGTTATTTGAAGATTACTGTATGCAAATGGCTAAGGTTTTGTACTTCTTTAGGGTGTTCAGATGTAGTTGGGTTTTTGGATATTTTCAACAGGTTAGAGTTGCAAAAGCTTGTTGGGCATGCTGTTTCAGATGCTAATGTAAAGAACGTGGCCTACTTAGCTCGGGCACTTTACTCAATTCAGCCTACTCATCAGTCCGAGACATATGCTGATGAGGTTGATGATGGAGCTGAGTTTGGTGCCGACCTTGTTTTCAATCTACCAGCTCGATTTCTGGTAGAAGGATCTCTTGGTGAAAGAGAATTTCAGGATGTGGAAAGCAATGGCGTTCATGCATCATTTTCTGAAGGATGGAGTGGTGTCAGCGACACGACAAATAATCAAATTGCAGGAAAATTCGATTTAAGTTGGCTTAGAGATGCATGCGGGCAGCTGGTTAGAGAAAGCAATTCACAACTTTCCCGTGATGAACTGGCTATGGCTATATGCAGGTTTCTGGATTCGGATAAGCCTGGTGAAGAGGTATGTTGTTTTTGGTGAAATATTTACGGACTTACTATGCCTAATCCTGGAGCATTATATTTACAAGTGAAAGTAGAGGGGATTTTAACATTTTTTTCTGCAGATAGCTGGAGATTTGCTGGACCTTGTTGGGGATAGTGCATTTGAGACTGTTCAAGACCTTATTGTGGTAAGGCCTAACGTTTTATATTACTCTTTTATCTGAAGTCTGTGGTTCGATACATTGTGCCTGATATGCTTTAGATTCGACAGTATGGTATGCCTGTTTTGCTCTTAGATTTGAGTGGCACTACTATGTTTTAAAGTTTCAGGGGTGAATTCATCATCTAGTAGCTCGTAGTTGAATTGACTTACTTGCTTAGCCTATGTCTTTCGTGTAAGCCGACTTTTATGGTGTTTAACTGAATCACATTCGAATATTATGTACTGAATGTTCTGCTCGCTTGGATTAAGTTCTTTCAATGTATATGTGTGGGTGTGTTGTTACTTTGGTTATATTCTACTTTCTAGTTTCTTAGGATTGTGAATGGTGTCTGACTTGTTGATTCTCTTTTCAGCATCGGAAGGAGATTGTTGATGCGATCCATCATGGTCAGATGATTCTCAAGTCAGACAAGACAGCTTCCAACACCCAACCTCGGATGCCTTCCTATGGCACACAGGTAGTGCCATTTGAGTGAGGCTTTCCCGTATAATGTTGAGTACAATTCTTTTTCTATGACAACAGTAACCCTCAGCCACCTTTCAGGTTACTGTTCAAACAGAGTCTGCAAAGCAAATTGAGAAACTTAGGCGTAAAGAGGAAAAGAAAAATAAACGGAGTGCCGAACTTGGTTTAGAGAGCGAAATATCAGAGACCAATTTTTCTTATTTACTTGAGGCAAGTGAGAAGAAAACTGGATTTGAGGATTTGATCGGTTCAGGAGAAGCCAATTCTCTTGCATTGGCTCTTCCCCAAGGTACTGTAAGGAAGCGCTTAAAAGGATATGAGGAAGTTTTTATCCCGCCAACCCCTACCGCGCAAATGAAACCTGGCGAGAGGCTGGTACGTCTCATCCATATCTAGAGGATAGATGACAATTTTTGCATGCCGGGAAGTTGAAAGTGTTCTCCAAACATTCTAATGATTATTCTGTATAGATGCTATTTTAGCTTTTTTTGCGACATTGCGTGCACTAACTCTAGTTTCTTGCATGTTGCCAGATTGAGATAAAAGAATTAGATGACTTTGCTCAAGCTGCTTTTCATGGTTACAAATCTTTGAACCGTATTCAGAGTCGAATATTTCAGACAGTTTACCACACCAATGAGAATATATTGGTGAGTCGTATGTAAAACCTTTTGTCCATACCGAGCGACAATACTAGTTACCTTGTCAAGCATAAGTAAATTCTGTACCTTCCAGGTCTGTGCTCCAACAGGAGCTGGAAAAACAAATATAGCAATGATTTCTGTTTTACATGAGGTAAGTTTCTTTTATCTGGTTAATATCTTTGTTTGTCGGAACCTGATTTTATCACAGATAATGCTGAAAAGAGTTGAGTTTTTCTTTACTAAGAGTGTGTAGATTGTTTTGAAATGTGTGTTTTGTTGTAAAGGAAGTTGATATATTTTAAGCACACTGAATTATTTCATAACTTTCTCTGAATTGTATGAATTCGTCTTGCAGATTAAACAACACTTTAGGGATGGCTACTTGCACAAAAACGAGTTTAAGATTGTTTATGTAGCTCCTATGAAGGTAGAATCAGGTTAATATAATCTTATGGATGAGCTTTGTTGTCATGAT